AAAAATTATTTTATACTTGCCATGTTAATTGTGCAAGCGTTTTACTTACGCACAGGCTGCAAACGATAAAATCGCGACATAGGTGAACGTGGGGTCGCGTAAATGAAGAAGTTTATGCGATATCCGTTTTCGGGTCAACTTACGCGGACATAAAGGTTATTCTACATAAAAGTCGTAATCGTGAGTTGTAAGAAATTGACTAATCACATTCGAAATTGAGGAAAATATTTAATTTGTGATTGGTCAATTTCTTACAACTCACGATTACAACTTTTATGTGGAATAACCATAATATTACATGATGAGAGATAGGAAAATTTACTTTTTTTTTCTTTTTCTTTCAAGTTGTTGATACCGAGCAATACTTTGCCCATAAAGCCATAAACAGATTCAATTTTGAAACTATAATTGTGTCGACGCGAGAGTCGACACAATCAGAGTGAAATTCATCTCAACAATCGCGACAACTCTCAGCTCGTTGATTCACAATAGTTTACGCGTAACAATAAGAGAAAACACACGTGTCACGTTACAACGACGTGTCAGGCATCGTCGCGCAGCAAAGCATTTAAAATCTAGCGCACGTCGCGCCGTTTGAGCGCAACCAGAACATCCGCGCGTCCTACATTACCGACCGTCGCGCCGCGCGTTATTAACCAACCCGGTCGCCCGCCTCGCCCGAAATTCAAGATGGCGATAAATGCCGCTCGCGGTTAGCCGCAGAAGGAAGTGATCCGCGCAGTTTCTTGGGTTCTTTTTCTTCGTTTGGTTATTGGCAGTGAAAATCACCTTCTCGGTGTGGCGTGTGCGACGGCCACTATTCAATTTGTTCGTAGGTGTTCGTAGGCTTGCAAATTCATAAATTTGCAGACTCGAGAATGTATAAGTGTATGTGTGTATGTGCAATTGTACGTGTATGTCCGCGGTGTCTTGAACTCGGTAATACCGTAGGTGCGTTAGGCCCAAGGAACTGCGCGGATCACTTCCCCCTGCGGCCAGTTTCTTGGACCCAACGAACCTACGGCATAACCCGAGTTTCAGACACCGCGGACATACACATACATTTACACGCACACACAGACATATACACATTTCCTGAGTTTGAAATACAATATATACGATACGATGATCGTATACATCAAGATAACAGTTCGGATGTGTTTTGTCTGAAAGGAAATTTTTTTTTAAGTCATTGATGGCAAAAAGCAATCAGAGGGAGAAAATGACCCAAGAGATTGCGATTTACCAGACCTTGAATCACAAACACATCGTTGACTTTCACGATTTCTTCGACGATACTAATAATATTTACATTATTCTGCTGGAACTCTGTCGTATGAGGGTAAGTAGCAGCAGTAGCAGCTACTTCAATTGCCAATTGTGAGTTTACAATTGTTTAAAATTCTAGTCGATGATGGAGTTGCATAAATGCAGGAAAGCACTGTTGGAATGTGAGATGCGATACTTTATGAAGCAGATCTTGGATGGAATTTTTTACCTGCATCAGCATAGAAGAATTCACAGAGATTTAATGTTAGGCAATCTGTTTTTGAACGACGATTTGCAAGTCAAGATTGGTGATTTCAGATTGGCAACCAGATTGGAGGATGACGGTGAAAGAAAAAAGTAATTGTTATTCAAATACATCGCAGTAGTCATGACGAATGTGATCATCTTCTCTGTTCATTGTGATAAATCATTCTAAATCTAAAGATTAAATTTTATTTTATTCATTCTTAAATTAATTTCATTTAAATGTGATATTTTTTATTTGTTTAAACTTAATTTTACTTCAAAATTATATCCACATAAATTATATTCCAATATACTTTGATAAAATTTTTAAACTCTATCAGGGATAAATTAGTTTTATCAATTACACACAAAATTTTGGTATATGATTTGACTGATTGATGAATTTTTTAATAGAATTGTCTGTGGTACTTTGAATTACATCAAACTGGAAGTGCTCACAAAGATTGAACACTCGTATGAAGCTGATGTATGGAGTGTTGGTGTCATAATGTACACTCTATTTGTGGACAAGCCGCCTTTCGAGACGTCAAGTCTGAGGGAAATGTATTCTAGGATCAAACAAGTGGAGTACAAGACACCGCAACATATTAGTAAACTTGCCATGAACATGGTGGTGAACATGTTGCAACTGAATCCCTCAAAATGTTTGTTCTTTGTCAAATTGATGAAAGACATCTTCTTTAGTTCTGGTAAGACATCAACAATTAAAAAAAGTGGAATTGTTCAATAGTTATTTTTTTTTTATAAAATAATTTTATTGATTATATAACAGCTTTTTTTGATAATGCGATAATATAAATTATATTAGTTGATTTATTGTAATGTTTTTGTGATATATAAGACATAAGATATGTTATATAAGTTATTTTATAAAATAAAATAACTTATACAACTTATATCTTATATCACAGAAACATTATAATAAATCAAATATAATTTATATTATCACATTATAAAAAAAAGTAAAATTATTTTATAAGGAAAAAAATAACTATTGAACAAGAATTGTTGATGTGTCTTCCCATCTGATTTTTTAAATAAGCTTTCTAATGGAACAAATGGCTAATTTCGAGTAAATAAGTTATATCTTTTTGAAAATTGTATATACTTGCATCTATTCGTCATAAATAAAAACTTGTAACTAAAAATAAGTTTTAAAAATCCACAAAATTTGTGAAAATTTTCTGGCAGGATTATTTTAAAGAAATTACTCATGGGGCAAACGGCTCATCCCGCTTGGAAGTCGAAAAGTTAAATTAATTCAAATTAGACGAGAGAAATTAAAATTCTTTGCTAAATTTGTTTTACATTTTTTCTATTGTCAGAGCAAATTACAATATGAATAATTTGCAATTTTTTGGTCCTTTTTATTTGTGAATAAAAAAAGTAAAATAATTTTCTTATTAATTAACAATTGCAGGATACATGCCAGCAAGTTTACCGCTCTCATGTTTGACAATGGAATCACGTTTGGATACGCTTGAGTTACATTGTAATCGCAAACCGTTCAGTGAGATGAACCTTGACGACTATTCGGAACAGGAGATTTTCCTCCGAGTGGCGAATAGTTTATCGCGAAAAGCCAAATTTAATAACAAAGTCATTGAACCGCAAAGAAGCGTCAACTTTGACATCAGAAAGATGCTTCAAATGCTAAAAAAGCAAATAGTTGTTGTATTAAAAACTAAGCCTGCTAGGGAAACAGCTTCTTCATCAGGTATGTTGGAGAAACTATTGAGTTGTGTAATAATTAATTTTATTTTTTTTAATAAAAAGGGGAAAATATATATATATATATATATGATAATCAATTTAATCACGTAATAGTTCTTTTCTAGTGGTCTTTAGTTGAGACTGCGTTTTCAGTTTAAAAGTACTGGCGCGCGTGGATTACAGGCAAAAAATTGCACGTAAAATTCACGCGAATAATATTAAGCAACCGAGATCCACTTTTGTCCGTTTAACAGCGTTTTGTTTAATTTAATTTTATATATAATTACGTGTTTATATGTCGATATAGCTTTATCAAACGATATATGCATCGTTTTTATATCTGATACTCTGTCATCTTTTTGATAATTTTATGATTCCTGTCTCAAAGTAACTTTTCCAATTTTTTGACAGAAAATTATTTTAGGTGATTTTTGTAGATTTCTAAAAAATTAAATTTTTTTCCATTAAGTGAATTTTTTACTAATCTAAATAAATAATAATCTAAAGACGAAATATGGATGTGGTAAGACATTCCAGCTCAATTAATAATTTTTACTGAATGACCAAAAAATTTTTAATTTGTCGAATTGAGCGCAGTATTTGTTACATATATATGTATATTTTTTAAATTAAATAATGAAATGTGCAAATAATTGGGATTAAATTATAATTGCTATATTTAGTATTACTGTATGATGTTGTAAAAATGTTTTCTCTAAAAATTTGCAGACGAATTGACTGATCCAGCGGCGCAGCCTGTGATTTGGATCAACAAGTGGATGGACTGCTCCGATAAATACGGTTTTGGATACCAATTGTCCGATGATAGCGTCGGCGTGATGTACAACGATGGCACGCGATTGATTATGATGTCAAATAGCTACAACATTTACTATATCAATCGCGAGGGCGATGAGTTGTATTACACAGTCAAGGATTATCCGGCCCATCTTGAAAAGAAAATGAAAGTGATAAATTTCTTTTTGAAATACATGAACAAACATTTGCTGAAGGCGGGTGGCTCTATTTTGATGAAACGTGGTAACAAACTCTTCAAAACATCCTATATACATCAGTGGTTCAGGACTCAGACAGCTGTAGTGATGCAACTGAGCAATGGCACAGTGCAAGTAAGTGTTAATTAATCATCTCTAAAGTTATATTAATATGTATACATGTGTATGTAATATAATATTATTAACATACATATTATTTATTGTTTCTGAAATGAATTACATTCTCATACTAAAACATTGTGTACTTTCACTTCATTTTACTTTTTTGTTTCTGTTATACTTGAAAAATATTTGAGATGAAGGGTAGAATTTGAAATGTTACAAAATTAATCGTTTCTATATGGAGCCATGCAATACTCCATCTGTATAATTTTTATATTATTCTTATCTACATGTATACTCATTTGATGATAAACTATTTTTATCTTAATTTTTTTATTTGTTCAAATATTTTATTAGTCTTAATATTCTTTGTTTTTTCTAAGCTCTTTTTATAATTTTTTTGCTACACTGTGTGTAAACTTATTTTTTTTTGCACATATATGTATTTATTTATTTTTATTTCTATTTTTTTTTTATCTGTTTCAATACACTTTAAACAATGAGAAGATATAATTTGTTTTTAGTAGTATTTTTATTACTGTTACGTTGTTGAAAGTATTGTTTGTTACAGTGTTTTTATTTTGGGATAAATAAAATTGTCTATTTATTTTTTAGATCAACTTTTTGGACCATGCAAAGATTATCATGTGCCCGTTGATGGCGGCAGTCACTTATATCGATCACGACAAGAACTTCAAGACTTATAGATTCCAGACTATTCAGGAAAATGGTTGCTGTAAGCCATTGGCGGACAATCTGATGTACGCATACGAGAAGATTAAGTTTATGCTAACAAATTCTCAAGCCCGATAAGATCATTTATGTTAAGAAACAACGAGAGTAAAAAAAAAACAACTAGTGCCGCGCCTCTCTTGCCACTATAAATTAACTTGGCATTATATATTAATTGGGAGGAATGTGACATATGTATTTATTTTCTTATAGTGTTGTTTTTGTAGCGAGAGAGAGAGAGAGAGAGAGAGAGAGAGAGAGAAAAACGGGCGAATGGAAGTTACACATTATTTTCCTTTTTCTTTTGCCAAATTTTTATACAGACGTAGAATTTTGCTAGATAATCTTTTTTATTATTTACGAAAGAGAGATTGAGAGAGAGAGAGAGTGTGTGTGTGTGTGTGTGTGTGTGTGTGAGAGAGAGAAAGAGAAAGGTAACCAATTGCGCAACAAAGGCAAAACATTTTGCGAGGAGGCATCCTATCGTTTGTAGGTGTGCCGTACATATTACTTGATGTTAATTGATCGGGTATTATTGATCTGCCGTCTATCTTCAAAAATAGTATTAGAACCGCAATTTCTAAAATCTCAGTTAACTTTGACCAATGTCTAGGACTCAAAGTGAAACTCTCTTATTTGTATATCCATGTTAGCCTCCGGCCTGATTACCTTTTTTCTTCAATTCCCATTAGGAATTTTGTAAAAGACTCCTCATCTTCATTAATTCGCAATGATTGCTTAAAAGGTATTTTGCTCCAACTTTGCAATTAAATCAAATTCGATCAAAAGGTCCCGCGCTGCGTTCATCACGAAAAAAAAGAGAAAGAGTGGGGCAGAGCATAGGAGTAATCGTGATTCGACTGAGTGGTGCAATCTACCCGAGTCGAAATTTTTCTCCTATTTTCGACCTCAATGTTCAATCTA